ACACTGAGGGTTGCGATCCGTTGCCGGACACGGAAAAAATACAAAAAGACAAAAAAAAAAAAAAAAGAAACTCAGTGGTCCCAGAGAGATCTTCAGAGGGATTCAGGCATTTGAAGATTTTCCAGTGAGAAAGCTGAGTTCCCACCCAATGAACTTCAAAATATGAACAAACTTAGGAATCACCAGATACTTGAAGATGACCCACTCTGTACCAGCAGCCGCCAAAAAAAGAAAAGATTGCCCCCAGTGCTAATGACTAGGGAGAACAAAACCTGAAAAGACTTTCTTCAAAGATAAGATATTGCATCTTTTTGACTTTCTGTACAGAATATTTAAAAAATATTTTGTAAATTGAATATGGTAGCTCAAATTAAAAATTAGTTAAAAGGTTTGAAACCTAAAGAATATAGAGAAGATTTTTAAAATGCAAAGTGGTGTAAATTTTTAAAAAAGAAATTAGACCACTCCAGAAGGTCCAATATCAGACTAATAGAAATTTCTTAAAGGAGATGGAATGAAGCAAAGTATCAAAGAAATAATAGCCCCCCTAAAGAAACCCAAGAACTAGAGAGCTGACCAGATCACTTGACTAGAGCAAGGTGCTGATAACCCCAAAGTCAGAGGTTCAGATCCTCTTGCTGACCAGCCTGAAAAAAAAAACTGAAGGACATTTTTCACTTTGATAGAGCCCATCAAGCACTCAGCACAATGAGTGTAAAAAGATCCATAGTAAAACACATTTTGTTTCACAATGTTAGGAAAAAATGGGAAATCTCACCCCAAAACTAATGGGAGTGTGCAGGACTAAAATAAATTGGGAATAGAATGGCATAAATTTCTTAACAATATGGGAAGCTAGGAGATAATGAAGCAATGACTTCTGAGTGAAGAGTATTTCTAACCAAGAATTCTATTCCCAATTGAAGTGTTAGTGTAGAAGACATTTTCAGATATTCATGGCCTGAAAGTTTGTTCCATTCGCATTTTCTCTGGAAGCACCTGAAGAATGGACTCCGCCAAAATGGAAGAGTGTCATGCAAAAGGAAGTCCTGGGGTACAACAGAGGAGCTGGTTATTTCTGGGACGAGTGAAAAGTCCAGAATGCCAGTTGTGCCGCAGCCCTGAATGCAGCCATTCCAGTCCAGAGAAGACCAGAAGGATAAAATTGCAGAAGGGAGATCAATAAAACGAAGTAATAGATTATCAGGTACATCTTATCATGGGTGAATTTACGTTGGAATTAAGTGGAGTGCAAGGAAAGAATTCATGGTAGTGAATTCAAGTAAAAAGGAAATTTATTTGAAGTGTACTCATTAAAGTGTACTGGGCCGGCACGGTGGCGCACTCAGTAGAGTGCGGCACTTGGGAGTGTGGCGGCGCTCCCGCCGAGGGTTCAGATTCCATATAGAGACCGGTCCGCTCACTGGTTGAGTGCGGTGCGGGCGCGACACCGAGGGTTGCCATCCCGTTACCGGTCATGAAAAAAGACAAAAAGGAAAAAAAAATAAAGTGTACAATTTAATGACTTCTAGTATATTCCCAGAATTGTGCATCTGTCTCCACAGTCAACATTTTCATTACTCCAAAAAGAAACCCTACACCTCTTAGCAGTCGTGTTTTTGTTTTTTAAAAATAATCTTTTATAATATTTGGCTTAAAATCTACATCTTAGGGTCGGCCCGGTGGCGCGCTGCTACAGTGCGCCGCTTGGGAGTGCGGCGGCGCTCCCGCCGAGGGTTCGGATCCCACATACAGACCGGCCTCTCACTGGCAGAGTGAGGTGCGGGCGCAACACCGAGGGTTGCGATCCCGTTGCCGGTCCCGGTCCGGTACGGGCGCGACACTGAGGGTTGCGATCCGTTGCCGGTCACGAAAAAAGACAAAAAGGAAAAAAAAAAATCTACATCTT